TATTTATCTAAAATGAATTTACAATTTTATTAATATGTTCATATGTTTAAAAAGAAGAATGTAAATTCAAATATATTTATATATGAAATGTCAGCTGTTTTTTTTCTGGGGGGTTTTTTTTCACATTTTTTTTAGCCTACGTAATTTTTTGGCGGCACCCCTGACACAGCTAGGGGGCACCCCAGTGTGCCGCGGCACCCACTTTGAGAAAGGCTGTTCTAAAGTATGAGACATCATAAAAAGTTACAGATTTTATGTTTTTGAAAGGATTTTCAGCATGATAATAATAATAACTATTTTTATTTAGCGCATTAAAAGCAGCTTCTCAAGGCACTTTACACAATAGAACAAACAAGTTAAAATACAACACAGTTGTACAGTCAAGTAAAAGCAGCCTTCAGAAATCAATCTAATAAGTTGATTATGTGCTCAGAACACAAAAAAACCCACTTGTGTTGCTTACTTTTTTTCAGGGATTTTTGATAGATCAAAAGAACAACAATTATTTAAAATGGAAATATTTTGTAACAATGTTTTTACTGTCACTTTTGGACAATTTACTGCACCTTTGCGAAATGAAACTTGAACTTACCCCAAATATTTAAACGGTAACTAATATCAAATTAGTCTCAAAAAAGAAATTATATTTTTCTGTCTGCACAGTGGTAAAAAAAAAAAAAAGTCTCCAAGTAAAAAGGAAGCCCATTATAGCTTTTCCTTACAATTTTGAAGCACTTACCAGAAAAAGTGACGCTCATTTCCTCAGGGCCGAGCGCGTGTTTGGTGACAGCATGAGGAAGCGACACAGAGATTTATAATTGACTAAATCTATGATGTGGATTCGAAAGAATATGCCATTTCATCAGGAAAACTGAGAAATGGAAATTATTGAATAAATCCTCCCTCACAAAAACAACACACTACCAACAATAACAAGCACCATTGCCCTTGTAAAACACATTTGATTCTGCGACAGATGGGCTGTACACAGCTGTGATTTTCTGCTGAAACGCTGGCTGGTGATCCGTTTGAGTGCCACATGAGCAGTCACCGCAACACCGCTGACAGAACACTCTCTATTCATGATACCGAGGCCAGTCATTCATCTCCAACCATCTCTGACAGGAAGTTTTCATTGGAAAGAACAAGCAGAGAAAATCTGTCAAAACAAGCCTGTATTTCCTGCAGGCTCATCTCTTTATGAATCAGATCTGAGATGAATATATTTGACCTGACACTGACAGTAGAAGGTGCAGTGCTTAGATGAACTAATGATAATTCCTGATTGTCTAGTCAAATCTGATGGGTGTTTCTGGTCCATTCAAAGCTTTCTTAAAATTTGCACCAAGTAGGATACCAAACCCTATAATAATTTCCACAAAGAACAACAGCGCTTCAAATATTATCAAGAGAGTCAGACACTGAAATTCTCAGCTGGTGGTGAAGAGAAGCCAACTACAGTCTCTCGGAGAGTACACCATCGTTTAAAAGTTTGTGGTCAATAAGCTGATCAAGTTGTTAAAAGGTTGTTGTTTTTTTGTTGCTGTTGTTGAAAGAAATTAATACTTTGATTCAGTAAGAAATGGGAACACTTTTATCAAAAGTGACAGTAAAGAATTTTTAAAATATGAAGTTCAGATGCAAAAGCCTCTAAGTGCCATTTGAAATTTTCTTGTAGAATGATCATTTTTATCAAGCTTGTATATTTAAGTTCAGTAATTTCACTTAAATTGCAATGAGGATTACCTGTTAATTGTCATTTAAAACTTGAATATATAAGCTTGATAAAAATGATCATTTTAGAAGAAAATTTCAGAGGCTTTTGCATCTGAACTCTTCATATATTTAAAGTAAATAAATGCTGTTTAGAAAAAATATTTCTATTCATCAAATCGTGAAAAAAATTCAGTTTCCACAAACAAATTAAAGATCACAACTGTTTCAATATTATTAATAATAATAATAAGTAGAAGAAATGTTTCTTCTTGTAGAAAGATTTCTGATGAATGATCATGTGACACTAAAGACTGGATTAATGATGCTGAAAACACAGCTTTACCATCACAGTAATACATTTAAAATAGGAAAGAAATTAACAAATCAACTTTAAAATGTAGTGTGCCACGCACATTGGTCGAAAGTTGATTTTTAGATTACTTTTAGTTTTAGTTTTAATTTTAGTGAAGTTTTAGTTTTTTTTGCTTTTACAATAAAATAAAATGGGCCAAAATATCAAATTGTAACATCACTTCTGTGATGCAACTTGTATAACAATGCTAATATTTCACAAAGATTAGAAGCAACTACCAGTTCTGCCATTTTAAGAGAAATGATTTGTTGATGAATGTTCATGCTTGAGGAAGCCCACCGATTAATACAACAAAAGAACAGTGAAAAAAGAAGACCCTTTAGCTAGAAATGAAATATAAGCTCAGTCTGAGAGTAAACAGTGTTAAGATCCTATGAACCATCTCCATAATAAGGTGCTTAACTTGACCAGGGTTGCTCTCAGGAGGTCGGAATTTACACCAATGTCCTCGGTCAGGCAATGTGGTTTCCAATACTGAGATGGGCAGGTGCTGCCAGTTCCAACTGTCTGAACACCTGCCTCCTGTTACCCCCTCTTCAAAACTCCTCAATTCAGCTCCACATGGCCTTGGCTCAGGTGCAGAGAAATGCCTGCCAGGGCCCTTGCTGCAGCCCTCACACCCCTAACAGCTGACACCCTGAACCCATCCAGACTGCTCCTGCAGAACATCCACTCAGCCCAATGGAATCTAATGTAATGTTCATGACCATTCATGAAGCTATTTCTATTTTCTTTTGCATATGGGGGTAGTATCTTTTATTTCTATTTTAACAGAAATTAACCTTTTTTTTCCAGAAAGGGTGCCTTCAATTGATCACAAGTGTACAAAATATTTCTATTTCAAAAGAATGCTATTCTTTTTGGTTATTATGCTTAATTTTAAGGTGACGTAGTTACATTGTACCTACTCAAATAAGTACTGAGTAATGTTAATTACTTACTAGAGTTAATGTTTGGGTTTGGTTTAGGGTTAGTTGTAATTATGGATATTTTACTGTTATTACTATAGTTAGTACATGTAATAACGTGTAACTGTCACCTTTAAATAAAGTGTTACCTTTTTAACTTTGTATTCATCAAAATGTTTCACGATTTAAAAAAAAAAAAAATAGTACAATTGTTTTCAACATTAATAATTTAGAGGAAATGTTTCTTGAGCGCCAAATAAGCACATTGAAGGTTTCTGAACACGGAGTAATGATGCTGAAAATTCAGCTTTGCAATCACAGGGATAAATTACATTTTAAATATATTCTAATAAAAAAATGGTTATTTTACATATATACATACATCTACACACTTCTTGTGTAAATATGAATGTTGTATGACAAGCCAAAAATATTATTTAGTGGTTGTCTACTGGTTTCTAATCCATTCTGCAATATTCTCATGTACTCCAAAGCTTTAAATGAGTTTTCACAGTGAAGCAGCTCACCAATACTAGCAGCTAAAAAAGGCTCCCCACACAATGACACAGTCTCTTCCTCCATGCTTCACTGTGGGAGAGATGCATTAATTATTATATACTAACCAGACGCTCGAAGACACCGTTCTGAAGAATCACCATGCAACTCATGTTTTATTAACTTCTCAAAATCTGCCAAAAACTTCATTCTGTCTGTGATGTTTTTTCTAAGAGAGCAATGGCTATTTAAGTAGAGCATTTGCTTTAATTTTGATAATTTCCTGACTAATAATTTGTGGTCAAGACAATTAATAGCTTAATGTTTAACCATTTTAGGCTTAGACCACAGGCCAACAATAAAGTGGTTATTATGTTTCTAGCATGTTATAAGTTTGGCAACAGTTCTTCTAACACTAATTGATGGAGTGTGTAGCTTTTCATTACTTAAACAACCATGTCGAAAGACACGTCATCATGGCCATATTCCATGATGACATTGTCAAGATTCATCAGGCTCAAACTGTGAAAGAATGGTTGGGAGGGAGCATGAATAATAATTTTCACACATGATTTGGCACCTCTGAGTCCAGACCTTAAATTCTTTGAAAGTCTTTGGGATTTTCTGGAGTAGACTTTACAGAGTGCTGGACACTTTTTTATCAATACGCAATCTTGATCATGAAAATAACATCACAACATTTATTTCCATCAAGAGGTGCATACATTTTTGGTCAAGAAGATCCTGTATGCACACACACACACACACACACACACACACACACACACAAGAAGTGAATTTAGGTTGATTGAGAAACATTTTTATAAATCATCTCAACGTCCCAATCACCCTGACAATATAAACACACACACACACACACACACACACGTGCCTTCATGAGGGAAGAATTCTGAACAACTGGTTTTCACCTGTTCATATGACGTAGTAATGATCGAGTCACATGCGCCTAGTCATAAACGCTGTCAAAAACGATGACGTCATTGACATGTAGACGTGTAGATATATGAAATACTAACTCTGATTAAAAAAAGTGTGACCACACAAACACTTCTTTGACTTCGAAATCACCAAATGTTTTCACCAATGACTGGAAACATTCGTGTTTGGCTTTTAATGACAGAAGTAAAGAAGGATAGGCTAATCCTCTCAAACTGAATTTATGATCATGTTCATCTCTCATCTGAGCACTATTGTGTTAGTTAAATACACCACAAGGTCCAACAAAATCCAATATGCTTTTAATGTCTTCAGCTAAAGAAAAAGCTACTTGAACAGCAGAACCTTCTAAAATTTACAAATAAAATGCTTAGTCTTCCTTCCTTTTATGTAATTATTTTCTTTTATAGATACAAATATGATAGGCAACACGAAATACCAAGAAATGTGTTTGTGTGTTTTTGTTGTTGTTTTTTGTATAAACAGGAAAGCGGGCAGCTTTGAAGTGAAGAAATTTCCCAGTAACATCAAAGTAACATTCCGATTCTTACCGTCATAAACTGCTCCAGGGGTGTCCAGTTTTATAAGTAAATGTGATTTCGTTCGAGACCCAAGACAGAGGAGCGGAGAGCCCGCTCAGAGCAGCAGTAACAGCAGCCTCATACTGACCCACTCCAGCCCAGCACACACACACACACACACAACTCAACGAGCCTCCGCTTCCAATAATCCACATAAACTCAATCCTGTAAAGTCAGTCAGCGACGACACTTTGCAATCCAGTCAACGGACCACTAGGGCGGAGGAAGGAATCTCGCAGGAGAATAAAAAAGCATTTCCCACTCCGGAGGTCGGCTCATCAGGATCGCTGACTTTTTTCTGTTGTGTCTCAGTTCACGGCGCTGTTACATTGTAGTAGCTGCAGAAGCAGCAACCAGTACCAAGTGTTACATTGTAACATGGCGCGACATCTCTCCGCAGCGTCACTAGCGGTCGGGGGTGGAATCACAACCTAGGTAGGCGGGCAATTTCCATTTAGACTGAGAAACAGATAGAGAGCTTGTTTTTATCCACAAGCTTGTTTTATCAAGATATAGCGGGACAAACATTGATTATTGACTCACTAACATCTCTTAACAAAAGTCTAGTGCAACGATTCGGCATACAAGATCGCATATTCAAGGCACAGGTAGCTAGTTAAGAGCAATAGTGGCATCGTGTGGCCAAATCGCGCTAAAGCTCCTAGTTACGTCTTTAAAGACGTGTACGGATTTGAGGTAACACTTTACTTGAAGAGGTGTGCATAAGACTAGCATGACACCTTCATAATCATGACATGACATATGTTATGAATATGAATGAAGGTTTGTGCATGTTTTGCAACTGTCATTAAGTGTCATTCGCTCAGTTATGACATTTTTAATGCAAATATGACATTGTTTGAGATGTCTTTGTTATGACATTGACATAAACCAATACATCATAACCTGTCTTTGTCATGACAACTTGACATTACTAAGACAACACAATCTGTCATAAACATGACATAGCAGATTAATTATCAAACTTAAGAAACCACATAGCTTTATTGGTAAACCACATAGTTTTATTTTGACATTGGCTGTCATGAAGCCATTATAACTTTTTATTTTATGAAATATTTGCATGTAAACACTTTATATATATATATATATATATAATGTATGTATACATTACATTCCATAATGTATATATTATTATTATTATTATATTTTACTATTATTTGTAGGCCCTGTGCTATTTTCAAATTAGTAGATACAAATTATTTAACTATCTATCTAAAACTTCACAGTGAGCAGAATATATAACACTATAGCAGACATTTAAAAACTAAATTGTATAGAAATAAAAAGTATACGTTTAGCTTGAAATGAGCTATTATCTAAAGGAGGGGGGAAAAACATAGCCTACAGTAAAACGCTGTTCAGAGAGCAATTAAAGGGCTGACACTGCAGAAAGCCAAATCTACTGGAAATGTCATTACAGAATAAGTGATCTAGTATGCAAACACTGGGAACTGTCCACACCCAATGTGTGCTTCAGCAAGATTGCCTCTCAAACATCTTTTGGCATCCATCCTTCGGCTGACTGTCACCCACACTAAGGTTTGTATGTAGGCATGTGCCAACAGCAAACATTTTTTTTTTTTTTAATGTGACCAAAACTAGACTACGTCCAAGATCATTTAGATTTAAAACACAGTACTAAAAGGAAGAATATACTTTTTTTTTTAATAATTTAAATTTCAATTTAACAATTTCATATGTCATTGGGTGATTTAGAAAAAAAAAAAAAATTATATGGCATATTGTTTACATAATATATACAGCCAGTAGCCTAGTGTCTCTTAACTAATAAGAAACGTGAAACCTAGACAGATGTTAACTACAACATCATAAACACAAGTTTGTTTATTAATGTAAAAGAGAAGACAATAGTATCCAGTGGTGTGTTGTACCAATTCAATTGCATTGTACATACAATCTCTTTTACAAACACTGTATGATTTTAACATGTTAAAAAGACCTAATACTTAACATATATGGTTTTAAATATATTTGGGCAGTTCATACTTTCTCATTTTTCAAAACATTTAAAATCCCATCCCGTCTAGATGTGTAAGTTGCATGTCTGAGTTGCAGCAGGTTCCCAGGAAACAAGTTTCCACTGGGGGCGTACATCTCTTCTCCTTTAGGGCCCATCAAAGAGCGCAGGGTCTTGTTCCGTGTCAAGATTTTCTCATAGAACTCTAAGCCACCCTTTGCATAATCGCTAGACAGACATGCCGCACGGTGGTCCGAGCTGTAGTCTAACCACTGGCTCAAAGCATCAGAAGTCATGATGTACGACACGACTCCTAAACCCAGTGCAACCACATTAACACCGACCCTGAAGACGATGGACCCAGCCTGAAGCCCAAAGATCTGCTTGAGGGCTACGCTATATATACAAGCTCCAGCCAGACATGCTGGAGCCACTGCAGCGTGTAACACGGGACCCCCAGCCCCCAGTCGGGCCACTTCTCGGGCTATAGCAAACTTCTGTGCCTCTGGAGAGAACACCAGGGAATTTTTGAGAGCAATGCCCAAGTCGCTGTCCCACTCCAGCTCTTTGCCATTGATGAGAATAGTGCGATTGGTGATGCCCGCTAGTTCCTCAGTGGTGCTGTTGAAGTTGGCTGGGAGGCCGATCTGTGCTCCAGAGGGAAGCCATGGAACACCAGCCCCTACTGGATGAAAGCCGAAAGAGGCAAATGCACTAAAGTTTTTAGGGGAGCTTACAGCAGAATCTTTCAACACCTCCTGAAAGACGTTCTCAAGCTTCTCTGACAGGCTGGCAGGTTCTCCTTTGTGCCAGGCCTGGTACACTTTTCTGTATGTATGATCTGGGAAAACATGATAAAAAATGTTGGCAGAGAAGACCCCTCCACATCCGACAAGGAGCAGTGGTGTCCGATACTTCTGAATAAACACAGAGAATCTCAGAAAACGCGAAGCCATCTTTCTATTGCCAAACTGTCAAGAAAAAATGACAAAATGTAGTAATCATAAATCTTGTCAAATATTATTAACATGCCATGCAGGCTACATATAAATATTGCACATATTCAATTATGCAATCGCAAGCACATATCCTATATCGCAAGCCCTTTTCCCCAACTCCTTCTGCGTTTTTATATTTTTAGAATGCATACATTTTCCGCACATTTTCAAATAAGGTTTCAGTAAAATCTTTGGAAACAATTATCGATTAATGAGCATAAAACCATTAGTATACTCTTACTTGCTACTTTGCTTTCATTCTCACAAGGACAGCACGTTGAGTGTTATGGAAACAACTTTACGACACTTTTACGACACCACGGACGATGTGGAAATATAATAAGGATTAGAATAAAAAATAAGAGTGTAAAAAATTGTATTACTAAAATGGGCGTTGATAGGTAAATCAAATTTGACCAATTTTAACTCTCCATTTTGTATAGTTGTCTGAATATAATCACGCGTATGAATCCAATAAGACAAAACATGTCCCAATGAAAAGTCTTGTCTTATGTGTTTAACTTCTAACTTGAGCACGCGCGTCCACAACAGACTCTTATTAATTTCACACGGATGTTAGCGCAACTTTTTTGTCTGTTATTCAACCTCATCCAATTGTAAACGTGACATGACAACGCCTACACTTCTTTTTCTTCTTTTTTAATAATAATAGAAATAATAATAATAATAATAATTTGAAAAGTTACCATTACTAAGCCTCGTCTTTTTAAAATAAATAGAGAACCCTTAGCGTAGAGAAAGGTATTTGAAATGTTTATTTTGCACATCATATGTCATAAATCGTACTGTAATAAAATATACATTTATCTGCCGCTTTAAAAGTGATGATGAGGCTTCACCATAGACTGTAAAAAAATGAAGCTTCACACAGAGGAACAGTCCATTTGCGTGTATGGGGAAGAAAGAGTTCCGTTTATTCGACGATGTACATGTTTTGAAGAAGACGGTGTTTTAGGAAAAGATCTGGGTATATGTTCACGGTTGTTCAAGTATCAGATACATATATAGCCAAACAAAATAGTGACTGCTCTGTAATAGTGGCAAAAGAAACGCATCCATCCACCCCATCGAAACCATGCTATTTATAGCACCAGCAGTTGCGATGTGAAGTTTGTTACTCCGTAATTTCATAAGGGCGGGGTAGCTAAATGTTTTAATATTTCATTTAATCTGAACAGGCCTTTCTTCACTAAAATTCCGTTGATTATTCTGAACTTAAATATACAAGGATGTCGAGGAGGAGTCGGGATATTTGCACACTTGGTAAATTAACCAACACAGCACTGGTAAGTTAAGTTTCCTGCCTGCCAGAGTTTGATTATGGCTTTTGATGATCATTTTCAGAAGAATCACACTCATATGTTTAATTTCAGACATATACGGTTGTCTGTTTACACCCCTCGGGTATAAACTGCTCGTATAATCATCAAAGATGTTTAGTAAACGAGACTTTGAAATAAACTCTGAAAGCTGAATATTCATTGGGACTGATCTAACTAACGTCATCACGCTGCGTTAAAAAGTGACGTCATCTCTGATGAAAGGGCGCATGAAATATCATGTGATTATCCTCTTTTGCATTATTTGTACTATTGTCATTTTTTCCCCCCCTCTGGTGTTTGTTCTGTTCTTTGTATTTCATGTGGTTTTTTAAAAAATAAATAAATAAATAAATAAATATCCATAATATCCGAGCGAAAACTAAAAAATTGCTTTACATCTGGTGGAAGTAATGTAATGATACATTTAGAAAATGTATGATTTGTAATAATATTAGGGAAGTTCCTGCATAGAGTGAAATGGTGTACTTATTTCAATGACATATAAAGAAAAAAAAATCATGCTTTGGTAAATAATAATTAGAAACATAAAAGCCATAATTATGAGATAAAAAAGTAATAATGGTGATAAAAAGTCAGGGTTAGGGAATTATATAATAAAAAAGTTAAAAAGGTCTTTATTTAGGAAAGTTAAAACTCACAGTATCATTGCACTTGGAATTGACTTCTTGATGGAGAAAATCTGAAACAGTGAAAAAGACTTTCCACTCAAGAAAAAAATTCATATGGAATGATACGATGGTGTAAATGACAATTTTAATTTTTTTTGGGCGAACTGTGCATGATGCCTACACGTACAGTACATTAAGGGTGTTTGCTTGCTTGTCATCTTAAGAGGTCAATTTGGGGTCTCTCTCATGGGTGTGTCTGATTGAGAGGTGTCTCATAGCTTCCTTATGAAAGAGAGATCACTCAAATATCCAGGCCTGCTGGAATTAGGAAGGAAGTTTACTCCTTCCTCACATTGTGGACCGCAGGAAGGGGAGGCCGTCACCCACTGACAGACTTTTCCTCCTGAATAGCCCACAGTGCCCTGCTCACGGGCCAGACAAACACTTCATTAACCTAGCTGAGTTCCTCTTTTTTTCTGTTAGAGTTGTCTTTTTAGGTAAGAAAATGTGTTTTTACTTTATTATTATGTATTATCATACAACCTGTAATTACAAATTGCTATTTTACGATAACTCTGTACGTAAAAACATTGGGGAACTTGCTTAAGAATTGCCTGAATTGAACACAGCCAGTCCTTGTTTTCTTGTGATTTGTTGGATTTTGATTTGCAAATTAATTATTAATTTATAATTTTTTGATTGCCATAAAATAAAATATAGTGCTTGCAGATATATGTATATATATATATATATATATAATGTGCATATGTGGTGCATTTTTACTTAAAATGGTATATTTTGTTTATTTATTTTTTGGTCTATGCTAGGATTAAGGCTATGTTTTGTATTTAATAACATTTGCAGGGATAGATCTGATTTTTTATAATAATATATGAATTTCCCATCCTCACATATAAACTTCATGGAGCTTTAATAGAGTGTAGCCTAATTATTTTTTCTTTTTCTTTTTTTTTTTTTTTTTTACCGTAAACAAAAATAAAATAGACTTGGGCTTTGAAGATTCAAGGCTTGTGTTGTGCAGAAAATAACAGCAATTACAAAAAAGCACAATGTCTGCATCTAGACCATATCCCTCTATCCTAAATTAGCTCTCTGCAGAACTGTTCCCAACCAACACAAAACCTCATTTGAACTTGTTACTTTGACATAAATCAAAAGAGGTGCTCATAACTGTCCTCAATGCTTGGGCTTAAATCCTGTTCAAGGATAAGATTCTCCTCTCCTCTCCTCAGGTGTAGCTGTTATCATGGCAACCAGTGCGGTCCCTAGCGACAACCTCCCGACGTACAAATTGGTGGTTGTTGGAGACGGAGGCGTTGGAAAAAGTGCTCTTACCATCCAGTTTTTCCAAAAGATTTTTGTGCCAGATTACGATCCTACTATTGAAGACTCCTACTTGAAACACACAGAGATCGATGGCCAGTGGGCTATTTTGGATGGTATGTGCCAATACCTCAGTAGTATCTGTGGTGTTTTTCTGTATTATTTATAAGTAATACTCATGCTTTTAGTGCTCTCATATTGTTATGCGTATTTGCAGCCTTATCAGTAGGCCTACTGTGTATCAAGCTACTGTATAATCATTAGCCTCATTACGGCACATGTCATGCCTAATGGAAAATCCAGCTAAAACTAGATTTAGTTGCTTGCCTTTTTAAATGATTTCGAACTGATTGGTTCAGTTATGCTCAGTTTAGATAAAATAATACAAAAAGGTCAAATGTACCGAATTTAACATACATTCTGCATTCTGCTTTGAAATACTGTGATAAAAAAGAAGAAAACATGGCTGAACAGACAAGCGTCTAAGTTTACGAATAGTTGTTAAAGTCTTTGTTGACAACACTTTTAAACCCCTAGAGTGTGCTGGCTGAAGTTGAGATTTTGATCCAAAGTAATGCCGCAATATTTGAAATACTCTACATCTTTCCGTTAAAGGGCAACTGAAAAAATACAATTATACATAATTAAGGAAATACAAGTATTAGGGTTGGGTATCGTTTGAATTTGAACGATTCTGATTCTGATTCCGATTCCTTGTTTCGATTCCGGTTCCTAACGATTCTTGATTCCGATTCTTTTAAGAGGCAGGGTCAAAAAAGTTTAGCTAACCTTGCTAACCAACGGTCTTTCTGAAGGAAATACTCCTTCTGCAAAAATACTCCTTTTATCACAAATTTTGCATTTTGCCGAGATTTCGTTACTTTTAGAAAAGTGAAGCCACACTTTGGATCGCCGACGTAAGGTACTCATGTTCGACTCGCGTGGTTATGCCAACACTTCCGGTAGATGCTTCTTCGTTGGTGTTGTTCCGCTCGGCGGACTGTGAATATCGAAACTAGGAATCGAAATTTTAACTTTTGAACGATTCCGGGAAAAACGAAAAGTTAGTCCCGGTTCCAATCGATACTCGATTCTCGATACCCAACCCTAACAAGTATAAATACTTATTTATTTGTACTTTTTTACATTTCTTCATGTATTTATTTATGTATTTTTGCTTTTTTACATTTCTTCATATATTTAGTTATGTATTTATTTATTTTTAATTAAGTCAGCTTTGGCATTCCATAGTTTTGAGGGATTCTATTCACGGGGTTGTGTCATTTTGAAACTGCAGAAGTCATTAAAAGTTGCATTTTCAGTTACATTTTGGGAAAACATTTGTTGTGTTGAGCTATTTAAATTACTTTAGTTTGATTTGTTCGTTGCAAACTGCTGAACGTCTGTACATTTTGCCAATAAACCTGATTTGCAATGGGGGTTGAATAATTTCGATTGCAACTGTATATATACAGTGTGTGCATATATACACATACTTTATATATGCACAGACATAGCCTACGTACAGAAAGACATTCTGTAAACATTTTACTGATAATATTTTACACATATTATGTTTACCTTTGCTTCTTGCAGTTTTAGACACAGCAGGTCAAGAGGAATTTAGCGCCATGCGAGAGCAGTACATGAGGACTGGTGACGGATTCCTCATTGTGTTCTCTGTGACAGACAAGGCCAGCTTTGAACACGTCGACCGGTTCCACCAGCTCATCCTTCGAGTGAAAGACCGGTCAGAGATCATGTTTACTTCATACAAAACTCAAGACCACTACACAAATTTGAATAGACTTCTCCTAAAAAAAATGTCTAAGTAATGTTTCTTTCGTGTCTGCACTAGAGAGTCTTTCCCCATGGTTTTGGTGGCTAACAAAGTGGACCTGGTGCATCTGAGGAAAGTGACAAATGAACAGGGCTGTGAGATGGCCGCCAAACACAACGTGAGTCCGTCAGATATCGAAGCATTACTTTATGTGAGAATGACAATTTTCAGTGTGTGTGCTTATGTGTGTGTTTCTGTTGACTGACAGTGGTTAATGGGTTAGTTCACCCAAAAATGAAAATCCAGTCATAATATACTCACCCCATTTCAAACCTGTTTGACTTTCTTCTGTAGAAGAAGGGGAGATTTTCAGTGAATAACACTCAAATACTGCTATATATATATATATATATATATATATATATATATATATAAAGTATTTATTTATTTTATTATTATTATTTTGTCAGGATGAATAGAAAGTTTAAAAGAACAGCATTTATTTATATGCAAACATTTTGTTACTACTGTCACTTGATCAATTATAGCATTCTTGCTGAGATAAGGTTTTGATTTCTTTGGAAAAAAAACTAATCTTACTGACTCCAAACTTGTGAACAGTACTGTATTCTTATTTTTTAATTATTCTGATATTATGTACATCATTAACAGTTTGTCTAAAATCTTAAAGAAAAAAATATAAAATTTACAGTCTCACAAGTGTTTATCTTCTACTCGTTTTAAAGGCTGAAGTAAATGTGAGTGACTTCATTGCAATAATTTGCATTTCTGAACAATTTCTTTAGATTACTTACATTGAAACAAGTGCCAAGGATCCCCCAATGAATGTGGAAAGAGCTTTTCATGAACTAGTCAGAGTTATCAGGTGAATAAAACTCATAATCTCACATTTTCATGGGTTTGTCTTCTCATAATGATGCACAGTAAAAGATAAAAACGTTAGCTATTTCTGCCTATCCAGACAGCATTTTGAGGGCATTATAAGTGCAGTTAAAATTTTCAGAGTTTTTATATTAAAATTTCCCTTTCATTCATGCTTTGCCTTTTTAGACAGCAAGTTCCAGAGCATATTCTGAAAAACAAGAAAAAGACAAAGTGGCGTGGGGACAGAGCCATGAGTTCTCACAAGCTTCACTGTGTGATACTGTGATATTGAGTCTCTTCTGTTGAAATCATCAGCGTTTGGCAAGATGAAATGGCAGAGAGGACTGACTAGAGATCTGCACTAATCAGAGGATCACAGACTATTAAAAGAACTGGCATGATGAAGCCATACTATCTCTTCCTTTCTCAGGGAAGCATATTAGGTGAGTGAAGGAATCACTACTGCCAGACAAAGGAGGAACAATCAGTTCAACACGTCCATGGAAGCACTGTCTGAAACAACAAAGATCACAGCCAATCAGAACATGATTGATGTTTAATATACTATTTGAAGCGAAATCTGTGTCCAGTGAGATTGCACTGTGGGTGGAGCTACCCAGAGAGATGCATCAATACCAAAACCATACACCGCAATCGTTAACACACCTACATAAAAATTATGTGCAGCTTCCAAAACGCTCATATAATTATGTGGATGATTGTTTTGTAGAGCATTTGGTTTTCAGTAGTTACCACAAATATGAAGGGAAATTGTTGTTTAACCTTCAAAAATAGCTAAAATAAACCTTACAACTGGATATTTATTCCCAAAAGAATATAGCTATAGTCAAACTTCTTTGACTTTTAGTGTCATAGAGTGTTAGATGCGTCTTCAAAATGGCCTTAAGTACAAAAATTACTTAAAACTATGGATGGGCTATTTGCACTAGCAGACAAATGCAAGTCTTTTTGCACTTTCAGTATTTGCTTGTTGGCTTTTGCTGTTTAAAGTTGACTTGTGATGTTAGAGACACATGTATTGCACAATTTACAGGTGCTCTAAGACTTTTGTTTTATAATAGGCTACCACACAGAGAAATCCCCACTACTTAACAGATACCACTGAAATACATTCTGAGAAATCTCACATCTCATGTGACAGCTCTGTAAGCAGTATTAAAAAAAAAAAAAAACAGTGAGCATTTTTTCAGAAACACTCGCTGCTTTGAATGATTTTGCAATTTCGGATTCTCTGACATATAGAGAGAGTTTCTTGAGTGCCACATCAGCATAGAATAATTTCTGAAGGATCATGTGACACTGAAGACTATCGTAATGATGCTTAAAAATTTTAGCTTTGCCATCATATATGAATACATTACATTTTAAAATGTGCAAATAGAAAACGGTTATTTTAAATTGTAAAAAACATTGTTGTTTTTACTGTATTTTTTGTTTGTTTTTTATCAAATAAATGCAGCCTTGGCTTGGGGATCATAAAGGATTTCTTTCAAAAACATTAAAGAAAGTTGCCAACCCCAAACATATGAACAGAGATAAACCATTACATTTATGTAGCATACATTGTGACTGAAGGTCGCCAAGGCAGTGTGAAGAATTAGATTTTAATAGATTTTAAATATACACTCTAAAAAATGCTGGGTTGTTTTAACCCAACTTTGGGTCAAATATGGACTAACCCAGCCGTTGGGTTAAAATTTTACATTACATTTTTAACCCAACATTTCGGGTTTGTCCATATTTGACCCAAAATTGGGTTAAAACAACCCAGCATTTTTTAGAGTGTAGGTTTGTCAAACCTCATGTTTCCTCTACATTGGACCAATTTATGTGTCTTTGCCTGTGGGATAAACAATCAGTTTCTTAGCCACTGGCTCATCTAGCTGTGCCCAAAGAGCAGGAGAAGCTGATCCCATCTGCTGTTAAGCCAAATGATGTATTGTAATGTTCAAATCATCTTTGCTCTGCGCACCCAATTTTATATTGATACATAAATCTGTAGCCTAAGGCACAATATCAGCCCGTGCTGTGACCTGTTGTTTGTTTGTTTGTTGTTGTTTTTGTTTTGAAACATCATGTCTATTTAGAGAGTTCAACATATCCAAGCTCTGTTAGAATTTGTTTAACATTGACATTGGACTAAATTGACAGTAAATGGAGATACATTTTCACAGGTGAATAGATGCCTTACAATGACTCTCTTGATTTGTATAAGGTTAAATAAAAGTCAAAATCATTTTGCGCCCCTATAAATATTGTTATGTACTTGTTTTTCCTTTGGTTAGTCAATTACATGAAACACTTCATAATTAGAACAACGCTCTCAGTGATGTCATAAACTGGTGTATTAGTTCACTTCTGTACACTAGATCAGAGTTCATACCAATCCAATCCCATGTCAAGCATGTTTGTCAAGCATTAATCACTGTCTGCATGCTCTGCTTGTAAATGATGAAGGGAGTTGTTTTGCATCCAGAGGTCATCATGGGTCTAATGAGTTTTTTGTACTGTGATAAAAAAAAAAAAAGATTTGTGAATGAATGGAAAGATTGTTTATTGCATTACTTGACGCTTGTTTTACAATGGCATGCCTATTTAATTAGTTGTCATCTCTAAACGTCTCGACCATAATGAACAGAACCAACATTTGTTTAATCAGAGATGTCAGGTTTGAATTGTTGTGCAACAAATGCTTTGTTTGCTCTTTTTTTCTTGCCCTGATAAGATTTTAAAGTGTTTCAATGTGCAAGTCATTGTGAGAAAGCTGCTCAAAAGAAAATTACATTTTAATTTGCCTTGGATAAGAAAGTAAATCTATTATGATGGATTGTTAGTGATGGGGTTTTATATAAATAATTCTTTATATACAATGTAGCCAAGCATATATTTTTACAAGATAACTTGCTTTTGAATATAAATATTTGTTTTAGGTTAGTACGCTTTACATCTAGTAAATGCTTATATTATGGATATCGGGCAGTGAATGCATTTCCGAAACAAAAAGACACCAGGATACGCTTGTATTTACCAGCAGGTGGCAGCAAAGTACAGACATTTTTATTGATCTGACTTAAAGTTTCATTCGAGTCCTAAAACAGCGATCAAAATGATCAGTTTCTTCTTGAAAATATAAAAGGTCTGTAAGAACAATAATAACGCGTTAATATACAACACACCCATAATAATGTAGCAGCCTATGTTTTATTGTTTAATGCTGAAATCATTTATTTGGCATTTGCCAGACAGAACATGAAAATATAAATGTAGCCTGTATCTAGATATAAGAGAGGGGAACAGGGTCGGAAGATGATGCAAATCAAAAAGCATATTGTTTAGTGTAGTCTATATTGAAGCAGACTCGTTATATGTTAGTATTAGACGATTTTATGTGCTGTAGCCTACTTTCCCATGGATTACAAATGAGTCAGTTCTGTTTAATATTGAATTCTGCATATTCATTAAGAACAAGAATGTGAGTCTTTTTTTTTTTAATTTAGTAACTTATTGTCTTCTCTCCTAGAATAACGAGGCTTCAAACCAAGGCTTTTACTTGCTTTCTTTTTTTTTTTTTTTTTTTTTTTTTTTTTTTTTTTTTTGCTTTTGTTCCAGAGGACTGTGTTCACTCCGAGTCTGGCTTTAACATCCTTCATAGATTTTACCTGGCGCCCCTTGGCCTTGAATCACAGCCAATTCCACCACAAATCATTGTATTCATTTAATCACAATACCGCTGTATTACCAAAGGTGCTCTGAGTGATGTTGCACTCTAAAAAATGCTGGGTTGTTTTAACCCAACTTTGGGTCAAATATGGACTAACCCAGCCGTTGGGTTAAATTTTTACATTACATTTTTAACCCAACATTTCGGGTTTGTCCATATTTGACCCAAAATTGGGTTAAAACAACCCAGCATTTTTTAGAGTGTGGGTATAGGGAGCACGGTGCTAGTTGTAGCACACTTGTTTTAAATACTTCCAAACATGCTAGCATGACGAAACTTCCAAAAACTCCTCCAACCTTACATACACCCTAAACCTACCCATCTCTGCCCCCTGATCCCTAACCCCGCCCCTAATTCTACCCATCTCCACCCCTTTGATCTGGATCCAACTCCGCCCCCTTGATCTCGTGTACTGCAATGAGGTGCTACTGGAGAGATTTCCGAAATCTTTGTAAGATAACAAAAACTTAAGTTAATTTGTCATCTCTATTTTTTGTGTTTATTTAAAATTAGACAAATCTGACATTATTTTAATCTACAGTCTGTTGTTAGACAGTTGATAGTCTGTAGTTCTTTAATGCTTCACTAACTAGCAGAAGACAGGATTTAAACCTCATTGGACAGTTTGAGCATGTTGTAACACTGCATTACAATGTGCCCCTATTAGAAATATGCTATTATATTCTTTACTTTTATGAATTCTATTGAGAAAACATGAGAAACGTAAATAAAGACTGAGAGTCAATGTTCAGAAATTATGAATTATTATTTTATTTAGAACTATGCTGCATAGCTGTGTTTTCTGGTGTGTTTGTTTTCAAACTCAAAAATGAGAAATTTCAAAAATAATTTACAATAAAAATGATTTTAAATGAAAAATTCAATAATTGTATTCTATAAAGAAATATTTTGGTTTGACTTTGGTTTGGTTTGATATTTGTTTTTATTAGATCAGATAGCATTTAAGCCATCATATGTTACAATCTGCCCCTCACATGTTACAATGTACCCCACCAATGGGGCATGATGTCACATTTCACTTCCATTCTTTCAGGGTAAATCAAGAAAAAAGTATACACTGTATTAATAAAACAAAACCACATAATTGTACTAGACATATGGGAAATCGTGGGAAAAAATAAAAACTCTAAACACCCTAAGCACAAACTGAGAAAAAGCGTTACGTTGTGCAGCGCTATCCCCTACGTCACTTCTCGTTTTCGTTCTCAGTATAGAGTGCTGTTACAACGTCACTTTGTAGGCCAAAACACGGAAATGAGTTAGCATTTTAGCACTTCCGGTTCCCTCCTACAGTCTATGGGTTTTTTGAATGGGTTTTTGCTAAATCGCCTGAAATAAGGTCTGTGGTTAACAAAGCCTCTAAATATATTCACATTTTGATCTATCACATAAAACACACCAGTTATAACCTGCTTGTGTGTTTTTTTTTAACTTTATTCTGTCTGCTTGTGTTTTTTTAAAAACTTTATATAAGCTTCAAAATGTACAATAATTTCAGAATTTTTTGACACTTCAATCAGAGGTCATTGTAATCATAATGCTTCTATACTCATTGATCTAGCTGTGGATCTACGTCATGATTGTGAGGAGAAAGTGATGGTGAGAGAGCATGGCATAGAGGGAGAGAGCGAGAGACCTTGCGTGTGTGCCTCATAAAAGCTACATGAGGTACATGAAAGCCAGGCAGCTAGTGGATAGTGAGATGTTTGCTGTATGTGACAAAAAAAATCTTTTGGCTTAAAAAACGTGACATCGCACCTTTAATCAAAGCAATATGTAATTTGCAAAAGGTTCTGAAAAAATGTTGCAGCCTATTTCAAAAATATTAAATTAATTTGAATTATTTAAAAAGATATATCAGTTTGAATGAATGATTTAACGACTCTCATAAAGACTTATGCGGAGCGCCCAGCGTTCAAACCGGAAAACACATCGACATCATATAGATAGACGCCCTATCGACTGCTACTGCCTATTGGCACGAACGAGCCATGGGGCCGCCTTCTTAAACCGTTCACCTGCTCCGCTCAGTATAATCTGTTTAGAAGGTGATCAGCGTATTTAATTAATCATATCTCACTGAATACGGAACTGATTTTCACGTGGGTTTTTTGCTGCAAAGGTCACACACGTAGCTTTGTTACAGGACAGGTGGGATATTTTATTCACAAAATACAACCAATAGTAAGGTAATGTTAAATGTTAAATCTTACTAGTGAAAACTAATTCCGCCGGTCCATATATAACGGTATAGCGACTATCTTAATTGACTGATGATTTGCAGGTTAAGCTGGATTGCCTCAACAGGGGACTGTATTACAGACAGGATCTGCTGAAGACATTCATGCCTCCCAGCTGTGACTCACTATAATGTGACAAAGTTGCACAAATGCTGATGAAGCTCTGAGCTGCCCACTTGGGAGATCAGCTAGATTTTGCTGAGGAGAGAGA